GCAGCCAGCAGCCCATCCCCTGGGTCGGAACCGGCTCGGTTCTATAGCACGGGCTCAACTGGAATAGTTTGAGGGAAGCCAAATCCCAGCTGAGCTCCTGCTGCCAGAAAGCAGGATTTAACACTGCCCTTTCACTCAGGGTCTGGCACTGAAACGCCCGGAGTCGGAGAGCAGCTCTTCTCAGCAGATGGATTCTCTGGCACCCTGAGGGCGTGGAGTTGGGTCTCAAAAGGGTGCCTGTCTCTGTGAGGGAGTCCACGGTGTGTGTGGGCACAGCGTGGAGGCCTGGCAGACCCCGGAGAGGATGTGACATTGTGACTAAGTTGCAGTGTCTTTCTTTTGCTGGCCTTCTTGGCAGCCCGGAGCCCCTCCCCACCACTGGCCTACAGCTTGCCTGTCCTAGGGGGCCCGGACAAGAGCCTCCTCCTCCTGTGGTGGCACAAGGGCCTTTCCCAGGCTACCTGGGCTGACGGGCTTTGCCCTGAGACTCTGGAAAGCAAGGAACAGTCATTAGGCAGTGCCCAGCGGGGCCCTGTCCCCGTGCAGGCTGTGGTTAGCAGCGCTTCCGTCAGCGATCTGCAGTGGCCAACGTGTACTCAGGCGATTCAGAGCAAGGTATTATTTACCCTGCTGACGTCAATGAGAATATATTATCCACTGTCCTTTTCTGCAGCCTGAAATGAGCACCAGAGCTCAGAGAACACAGCCACCTTCCACACTTTTAAAATTCCACCCAAGGCCCTATCTCATTAACCTGACATTCATATCACCCAGGCTCTTAGAAAACAAGTTGTTTTTATTTTAATTCAAGAGGGTTGGAAACATAAAAACAGTACATTTTCCTTGCAGAAAATTACCCCATTTAAATTACCATTTGGTACAAAGATCATTTATTACACTGCATTTTAGGCAATTTTCTAACATCGAGTGACAGGTTACACTTTGATTTTTTTCATATTGGAGCTATTATGATTTGCACTCAAAATACCAAAGCTATTGAACTCACCAATTTTTTTCTTAGTAATTTAAAAAAAAACACAGAAAAAATAACTACAATTAGGTTAACTTTATCAAAAGTAACTCTTTCACAGACCAAACATCCAGCAAAACCACCCTCCTCCCTTCAGAAATAAGCAATAATCTTGCCTTTTCTACAAAGTGCAAATATCTCTGTATCCCTTTTGTTTCTTAAACTGCAGTCCCCGAAGTGAAGCAGACTTCCTGTTCTCTCTGCTTCTTTCCCCTTTAGAGATTTTGGTGAAGGCAGATTTCTTTTACCAGTAGTAGTGGGAAGATCTCACCACTTAAATTTCCTTGACTGAGCAAATCTTGAGCAGATAGGCATCACGCAGCCAGCGGCGAGGCCTAGTTATCTGTATTTACTAATGTAACATTATTCCATTTGGGGTCATATTTTTCCAGGATGTTGTTTTGTACTTCTATTTTTAAAGCTCCCCCCTACCTACCCACTTTGGCTCTGAAAAGACAAAGTACTCAATAAAGTATGTTATTTTTTTAATCCTAAAAGTGTCTAATAAGCACTTCTACTTGATGGGATTGACTTAAAGAAATCTTACTTCCCTCCTCAGGACAAAGGCTGAGTTTGTGACTCTTCTCTGAGCAGCCCCTTTTCCTGGGGTTGAATCTGGTGGCCTGATAGCATGCAATTCACCTCCTTGGCAATTGAGGAGGGATGTGTCCTTCCGTCATATAATTCTATAGGAAATTGTTTTGTGTAACTTGGAAAAACTAGACATCTTTGATGTGAGCCTAAACTTCTGTAGTTAACTGGACACTGAAAGGATGGCCAATCTGTGGGGTCTGTGTCTCCCTCAGCCTTGTTCCGTGCAGGGCCACCTGGACAACTGCAATGTCACCTGAAGGGCACCTCCACCCATAAAGCCAGGCAGCTGTCAAGTGGAGAATGAGGTTGTGGGAACAATGTCACATTCACCCTGCGCTTGACCAAAATGGGGGCTTTGTTTATACAGCTGTTCGCTTATGAAAAGAGTCAGATGGACGGGGAAAGAGAGGGCTTCTCACACAATGAGAAGCTAGAGAACCAAAACCAGAAGCCAACCCAAGACCTTGTCCTGGGCTCCTCCACGCACTAGCTCTGTGACCTCCGATAAGTCACACAAACTCCCAAGAGCTTTGGTTTCCTCAGCTGTAAAAAATAAGGATGATAACTTTCCAACTAATTTCATGGAGTTGTTGTGAGGATTCGAAGAGATTACTTGTGAAAGTGCTTGGTAAACTCACATTTAAATATAAGCTATTGCTCCTTGTGGACAGGCAAGCCGTTGGGTAGGACCCATCGAAACTCTAAGTCTATGGGCTGTCCTGCGGCCTGTTTCTCAATCTATGCACTACTATGTGCCCCAATCTGCCCATGTGTTGAAATCTGCCTGGAGAAGGTGTGGACAAAAGATGGTGGTGCAACTAGGATGGCTGTGAGTCTTCCAGAAGCAGCCAGGCTACTTGATTGGGAAAAAATGGTAAAATGAGTATGCGAGAGGGTACTGGGAGAGCAGAGACTCCAGGGCCAAAAGCAGCCTGGAGTTCACCCTGCTGCTGACAAGGGGCAGACGAAGAGCTCTGTAATTACAGTCGCTTCCCTGGGCCACAGGCCAGGGAGGACTGTACTATGGAACCTGTCAGAGGGATAGATAAATTTTTAAAATGGTTTTTTGTCCAGCTTAGAACAGAGGCAGATGATACCGTTCTTGTCTTCCACACGATTCTGAAGATAAGTTCTGTAAAAAATTTCCAGAAGTAACAAAATGATCAAAGTTCTCTGCCTATACAATGACTCCGACTTACTGCTTGTTCTCCAGTTTTTACCTTTGATGTCTAGGCACAAAGAGACCGAGCGGCTCGGGTGGCTTCCGAGGAGGCAGTAGAGGCAGCCCAGTTTAGGGGTACAGACGCAGCCAAGGTCAGCCCCGGCACAGGGATTCAGCAACTGTTCACTGAGACCAGTGTTGGCAACGACACTAAGTATTGTCTCTGAAGGAGGTCGAATGTGAAAAAGTTATCTGGAATATGAATTTTCTTTAAACCAGTAGGGAGCTTAGGTGTAACTGTCAACAGAGGCTTTTAAATGTAATCCAGAGTAGAAAAACTCTGACCCCAATATATTTATGAACCTGGGGCTGGACTAGAGGCTGCAGGACCCACGCAAAGGACACATCACACACTCACGACGTCCTCGTGCCTGCGCCTCATCAGAGGCGGCTCTGATGCACACGCCTGGGAGCCTGACCAGCTAGGACTAGAAGCTGCTGCTGTTCACCTGGCTGATCACCTGATCACTCTCTAGCTGCGAGTGTACCCTCTTCCCGAGTCTAACACCTGGACAGAATTCTTTAAGCAGTTCCCTGCCTTTAGGTACTAGTGACACCCAGAGTGTGGTCGGAGAGATCGGTCAGTGCCCTGACAAATCCCTTCTGCTGGGGCCGTTAGTCTGCTGGCGGTGGGGCACAGGGTACAGGGCGACACTCCCACAGGGTGGTCCTCCCTCCCCATCAGAGCACAGGGCCCCCTATTACTCCAGGGGCCAGAGTCAGGGAGGAGCACAAGAGGCGAGGGCTGAGTTTCGTCCCAGGCTCCTGCTGTCTCACCTCAGCTGACTCCAGGCCACAGTCTAAACATCTGGAAGTTCTTTACTTTGGAGGGGAAAAGGGCCGTGACTTTCTTAGAAGGCAAACTGGATACAGAAAAGTAGTTTTGCTCATATCTGCACTAATAATCCTCGAGTCCCATCTCTGGTCATCCTGGCGGGCCACAGTCCCCCGTCCGGTGGGTTCTGGAGGCTGTTGGTAGAGAGAACTGTCTGCCTCCGTCCCTGTTCCCAAGGCGGCAAGGGGCAGCGCAGGCCTGGTGGGGCAGAGGTGCTATGGGGGTGGCTGGGGCTGGTCAGTGTAGCTCACTGGGAACTACCAGGACATCCACCGTCTTTCTGTTGTGTTAACGTGCTCTATTTGCTTTACAGGGACCAGCGTATCAGTTGCGTGTAAATACTAGAGACACACTCGCCCAACTGGAAATTGCAGAACTAGTGCATTTTTCCCAAAGCAGAGACTAATACCCCTGGATTAAAAAAAGAACATAAAAAATAAAGAAAGTACCACACATATTGCACTTTTTGCCAAATGAAATTTTTACCTCATGTTCATCTCACCAAAGTCTCTTCAGAGGAGCCTGGTTTACAAGATAATAAAGCTAACGATTATCATACAGTAGTGTACACACCGCTAATGCGAAACAGACTGGACAGTAAGTCGGTACTTCGAAGTAGCCTCTCCTAAAAAGAGTGGTGCTAAGCCATCGTAGTGTTACTTTAGTATTTATGAAGAGAGAAGCTTCCATCGGCCACTCGTTAGGGAACAGAACAACAGAGATGATCAGACAGGGCTGAGCAAACACCTCACTGACCAACAGAACCAGTCTCCTCTCACCAGCTTACATTTCAGTAAATACAGATGGTTATGGGATTTATTGATTTCTGCTTGAAATAAATGAGATAAGCAAATAGAGCTTACAACACAGGTTCCAGCAGGAGGGGTCGTGCTCTTCACCAGGCAAGTGTCCAGCTGCCGCCATGTCTGTCGGTTCCCGTTGGGCCTGGCTGCTGCTGGCTGCCTCCCCATTTCTCCCTGGGTCCCTTAACCTTCCAACCCGCAGCCTCTCCGCAGTCCCTCATCTGTCGGCCTCACTGTCCTGCCATAGCTCCTAGGTCTCTTGGGCTAAGCGGCTCACAGCCTTGTCGGGGGGCAGGAGTTTACGCCAATCTGTAACTGGACCATTCCTGCAGTTCTGAAATGAGGGGCCCCCAGTTTCAATATGGAAGGCATTTTAATTTCGTAAATATTACAGCACTCCTGTAGTATATTTTGGGAAAACATCCTCCTTCAGTCTAAACAAATCAAGTCCTGTTTTATAACTAGCTTATTTTGCAAAGGCTTAAAACAGATTAGAGATCTTAATGAAATGATCTCTTAAATGAAATGATGTTCTTTATTTCACGAAATCATCAATCTTAAGCACGAGGAGGAAAAAGCAATCCACAGAAGGAACTTAATTCACTCTTCCTGGACTGTCACTGTGTTATTAAATCACAGAAATGACAGCCCCTACACTACCCTTTCCTGCTGACACCCAGAGTCCAACCCCAAGCACGGGGCCTCTGCACAGCATGCTGGCACCGACGTGGAGCCCCAGCGACTGGGCAGACTCTGGCCAGCGACAAGAGCTGCAAGTTACCAGCACTGCTAGGGGCGGGGCTGCAGGGCCAGAATGGAACTCCCTAGGTTTTCCATGCTTCCCCTCGCCTGTCTGGACACTTACTACAAAGAGGAAAGGCAACTTAAAGGTGTTTTCTAGATGCAGCATCAGTGTAGTATCTCTCTTCTTTGTGCTTTAAGGAAGATGCTTTGTGCTTAACGCATTCATCTGCTGATAGGACAAGCCATTCTAAAGGACAGAAATTATAATCTTTATAAATAATACTGAATTTGTAACACCTGGATGTTACTGTCCAAATGACAGATTACTCATTACTTCTAGGTTTATAGTTAAGTAGCTTTAGCATCTATTTTTCACTTACTTTGATGAATGAATTGTAAGGGTTGGTTAAGTTTTGCTAGTAATATAACGCGTTTGGCAGATGATCTGCTTAAATGGTTAACACATCTGTGGTTCTTTGACTATTGCTGTTATACGTGAATGTTTCATTACAAGTCAAAACTTTAAGGAAATTAAGAATGCTGATTCCCACATGGTGGAAAACAAACTCTGAAGTGACTTTGGATTTAGCATTGACATAAATGGAAAACTGTTGGTTTCTACAGAAAAGAAAGAATTAAAGCATGATCCGGGGGGAAAGGCACAGCACTACCACTTCACATGGGACATAAGAGTTCATTTTCTGTGTCCTTAAAATTCCTAAGCCCTATATGAAACTGTCCAAATACACAAAGCTCAATAGACTACTAGCAACATATGGTGTGAGTCGGAGTAGCTGTTACACTGTAAAAGAGACGACAGGGCCTCCGGAGACCAACTGCCCCCAAACCAGAAGTCTCCACAAGAGACAGTGCAGAAAGAGCCTGTCTTCCCTGGCCCGGGGCTGGTGCTCCTGACGCCTTCTCGAGTTTCTCGCCCCCCGCCTCCATTAGTGGGTCTCCTGTCGATTCTACAGGTGACATCTTTGGAGCCCTGAGTATATTCTGACACTCAGCAACCCAGGGGTACCTTCTCACGACGTGTGTTGTTCGCTCCCAGATGGAGACGACAGCCGGTCTCAGGGGTCAGTACCAGCTGTTATTTAGTGGCCCCTGAAACAGCTCACGCTCCACTGCTTTGCGACAGCTTTGGGGACAACTTGCATCAGCAGCTAAGAACTTATGATTCAATGACAAAGTACAACTTTCCTTTATTTCCTGTGCATCGAATTTCATTATGTATTCTTGATTGGCCTTGAAGCAACGTGTTGTTGCTCAGCTTCAGTGAAAAATATATTGCCTTTTTTGTTTGCCCATATATATGCAACGGCACACGTTTTTCCTGCTTTCACCAAGGTTTCCCTTGATGATGACTGGTGTAATTCCGCAAAAACCTAGGTCTGAAAGTCGTCTTCTTATGGAAACAGTTGGTGCCTCCCTCGAGAGCTTGCTCCCCTCAACCTAAGGGCATGAGCTGTAGCCTACAACTATGTCCCAGCACTTGCCACAGAAAACTTCGTGGTGGGACAGAGGCAGGAGGAAGCGACATCCACCCCAGCCAGGCCCTCGGATTCCAGTTGGGCGACTTGATTTCTTCCCATTAGGGAGAGGGCAAGAAAATAAGCTTCAAATTTAAAGGCTGGAATAAAAATAGAAATACACAGTCTTCCTTCACTTGACCCGCCTCACTTCCTGTGCTGAGGTTAATTCACCAGGACACACCCACTGTGTTGTGGATCCACAGCGTCCAGCATTTCACAGTCAAAGAGTCCGGGTAACTCAGAGAGGGCCAGCGGGTCGTAGCTCGAGGTGGCCTCCTGCAGTCCTGAGCTCCTGGGGCAGTCCGGCCCCGCCAGGCCGCTTAGCTGGGCTCCCTCCACAGGGTACTGACCGGGAGCAGGATAGTCTGGCGCGGAGGAAGCGGCGCTTGGCAGCTCACAAGTCTGATAGGAGAATTGTAAGGGGGCTGGGGCAGCTCCTGGCTGCTGTGGCGGCGGTGGCGGCGGCGGCGGTGGCGGCTGCTGCTGCAGCTGCGCAGGCAGTGGAGGAGGAGCCCGGGGACCCGGCGTGGAGGGCAGGGGCTGCAGCTGCATCTCCTGGTACTGGCTGAGGAAAGGGCTGTATTGCATCTGCTCGGAGGAGGGCTCCAGGACGGGGCTGAGGGGCTGGGTCAGGCTGAATGGGGGCGCCTGCTGAGACGGTGGAGGACTCTCCTGGCGGGCAAGGGGCAGCTGCTGACTTGGCTGTGGGTAGGAGCTCTCCGCTATCTGCATCTGATTAAAATACGCCTGCAGCTGAGACTGCTTCTGGAGGAAGAGTCGCTTCTGTTGGAGCCTAAATTGGCAAAACCAAAGGAAAGGATTTTAAATCTTCTCAAGTGATGGCAGTTTTCACATAAATCCAATACCAGTCATTAGCCTCAGTTCTCCACTTACCTCTTTCTGATGTCAGGAAAAAACGAGCGAGAGTGGGAACCAATCATGGGGTTTCTTAAACTCAATCTCATTTTTTGTCCCTTAATTCAGACAGTGCTAAAGTGAGCAGGAATGCATTTTCTCCGACTCTTGAGTTTTTCTCCCTATAAAGTGAGAGGCTGATTTCCCATCCTGAGTGGTTAGAAGTGGCGATAATCACACCTTGGCCTCTGGAGGTGTCTGTAGGTTGATGGATTAGGGTAATTCTACCTTGGCCAACCTGCTTCTAAGAGTGAGGCACGCAGGCATGAATTAAGGCAAGGAAGGACAGACGCCTTCTCTGCAGTCTGACCCATTTCAATTGCTTTGGGCCACTGACTGTGAAAGCTTAGGTCTAGTCATATCCCGAAGGAGAAACAGTAGCAGAAAAGGAAAACAAAGCACATTTGAGGGCTGCTGTAGCCTGATGGGCTCATACTCTGGGGATACTGGAATATCTTCGGTAGCAGTCACGCCTGAAGAGACTGTGGCACACAGAGTGGGAAAGGACAACACATCCGGCATTCTTAACGCTTCCACGAAAGTGAGTGGCTTCTTTGGCCAAAGACTGCCTGCCCGCCTCACCTGTGTTCCTGCAGCTGCTGTTCAAGGCTCCGCGGTGGTTCTTTGCAGTAAAGCTGGCAGGTGTTCTGGGCCTTTGACAGAAGGCTGGGCTTCTGGAAGAGCAGAAAAACAATACATGACAGCGTGACAATATGCTGTCACCTAGGATGCAGTCATCAGACGGCTTCTGCCTGGAGGATGAATCCAAGTGTAGCCTACAGAAGTCACACAGGGTGAAGGGACTGACATTTGCTGAGATCTGAGAAGAACATCGGGCCAGCAGGCCTGGGCTGCCTCAGCTGTAACCTACTTCAGCCTTACACTCTACTTCTAAAAGTCCTCTGGGACTGTGACGTTCGTGGAGATTAAAAAACGATGAGAGGGCGGGCGCGGTGGCTCACGCCTGTGATCCTAGCACTCTGGGAGGCCGAGGCAGGCGGATTGTTTGAGCTCAGGAGTTCGAAACCAGCCTGAGCAAGAGCGAAACCCTGTCTCTACTAAAATAAATGGAAAGAAATTAATCAGACAACTAAAAACTATATAGAAAAAATTAGCCGGGCATGGTGGCACATGACTGTAGTCCCAGCTACTCGGCCGATCTAGGAGTTTGAGGTTGCTGTGAGCTAGGCTGACGCCACGGCACTCTAGCCCGGGCAAAAGAGTGAGACTCTGTCTCAAAAAAAAAAACGATGAGAAAAGTAGAGTTAAATCTTGATAGCAAAGGCCTCAGTGCCTGCTAAATGAATGAATGATTCATACTTTATGGGATCTATGTTGTATCATTTTTTAAGATTCTCATGTACCAATGTAGAGAGCCCATGTTGAAATTTTGCAGACTTGAGATTTCCATTTTATTTATTATTCATTAAGAGGCATAAAATTAGAAACAAACACTCCAGGTCTCCCTTTCCCACCACTCAGTGGTGTATCCTTTCCTGGGCCTGAGGATAAACCCTTTGCCACTGCCAACACAGAACCTAAGGCTAAGTCTGAACATGTTTCTAGAAACTGCAAGTGAAGAGTCAAACCTACCTGCCTATAAGGAATAAAGCAGCCACCCTAAGTAAATACCAAGCAAAACAGGCTTCTGCTTTGCAGAAGGGCAGACTCAGGATAAGCACAGTGAGCTGGACTAGCAAGGAGAAGGCCCGCACCTGGAGTCTGTGCTGCAGGTACTGGGATTCCAGGCTCTGCCGCTGGGACAGCTGAGGATGCACGCTGGTCGGGAGAGTGGAGACACTTTCTTGCTGCTGGGAAACTTCCTCCTGAGCAAGGGGTGAAAACAATTTTCAATTCTCCATGGGGGAAAAAGTCTCAATTTTTACTTTAAGCACCTTTGCAAATGTCCAAGAGGAATCTCAACTCTTTAAGACATAATACTCAAAGCTTTTTACGTAACTAGTAGGCTGAGGGTTCATGACTCCTCAGAAAATGTATGCGTGTATGATCTGCAGTTAACAGTTACCCAGTCAGTGCTAGAGCAAAGGCTCTTGGTGTCACCAGGAGGCCATCACCTTCATGTGGGCCTCAAATACTATAATATCCTTGATGCACTGAAAATACGCTCAAAATAAAACTGCATAAACAGCAACATTTATTATATTTTTAGCATGAACAATCCACTTGTAATATTTAATGAGGTGTTAGTGGCAAGAAGCTTCTCATCTGGGTGAAATTTATTACTCTTCATTTGTGTGTCGAGGGGGGAGGGGAGTTCAAGGGAGACTGTACGAGGCCATCCATATATAATTTGCCCTGTCAGCCAAAAATAGCTTGATGGTGTCTAGGCCTCCATCTGGTGCTGATCACTTGGGAGCAGCAGGGCTGGGTCTACACTGTCAGTGGCAGGTGGTAGCAACAAGGCAAGTGTTCAGGCTGCGGGCTTTCCGAAAGAAGCTGTTTGCTCCAGGTCTGGAGGAAATCCTCTAAGTGAAAATGACACATCTTCAGGACAAACGCACACCTCATTCTCACGGGGCCTTGGTGGGAAGGGCCCAGAGCACCCACCTGAGGGCAACTGCTGGCAAGGTCTTGGAGCTGGGGAGCAGCTGATGGGTCTGCCTCTGATCCTATCTGTTCATACAGCAACTGCACTTTGTTCAGCTCTAGAATTCCTTTGGTTCTAGCCAGATTCTGAAGATGCTGTCTAAATGCTACAATTCCTGAAAGGAAGTACAAAGACCAGTTTAAATAAAATGCAATACCTTTCAGTGATCACAGGCTCATACCAACATGGCAACGAACCTCCCTCAACTCCTACAACATAAAAGTTTTAAAAGCCAGAGGGGAAAGCAGTCACCTTGGGTGAGGGAGGTGTCCGATGCCCGGCGGCCCTCTCTGAAGCTCACTGGCGACCTGTTGTGGGCCTCTCGTTTCTGGGCACTCAGAGCCTGCATGGCTGGGTTGGTGGGTCTCAGGCTTATGAAGGGAGATGTCATGCGGGGTGAGGGCTGATTGGCTACCATCAGGTCCTTAAGGGAAGGGTTGTCCTCCAGAAAGTTCAGGTCCCTCTGAACAGACCCCATATCATACTCAGAGTCCACACTGTCAAGGGAGGGGTTGTCACTCATGGAGAAAATTTTCCCTTTAAGAGAAAACAAAACAGATATAACCAACAACAATAGCATCTTCTTAGAACACGTGATACGAAGCATAAGCAGCTTGGGTCATGACAGTTACGATGTCCTTAATCTCCAATCAAAACATCTTTTCAGAAACTTTGTAGAGGTCAATTTAATCATCTTCAAATTTAGTGGGGCAAACACTCCAGAAGCTGCACTCGTAAGCTGTCTGCCATTCCAAAAGACCCAGCGTCCCTGGTGAAACACACGGCCCTTAGATGAATCCTGGGAGTTAGGGGAGCCAAGCCAGGGACATTTCATTTTCCTCTTTGTTAGCTGCTGAGCAGACCTAATGTGAATGTGCTCCATAAAGGAATAAGATACAGACTAAATTCCGGGAATTCCCAGTGACTGGAGTACGAACTAATGCCGTGAAGACCTAACCTGCTGCTTCTCCCGCGTCATACCTGCCCCAGGCATCACGACCAGCTGATTGGTCACTTCAGACAGAGTGTGCCGCCTCTGCCCACTGCGTGTGGACTGAAATGCCTCGAAGGAGTGGCTGGGGTCTTCCTCGGCCTCTCCTTCTGTCTCTAATCCTTCGTCAATGGAGGTCTCCATCATGTCGCTGGGCAGCGACTGGCAGCCCTTCCTCAGCAGGGCAGGAGGCACAGGGTCGAGCAGACAGCCGTTTACCTAAATGCCAGAGGGGGGAGGGAACATCAGTTGCTGTTCTGTTGAGACAGTAGAAAAATCCACAAAGGAAAAACTGTCAAGACTTGAGGCAAACTAGAAATTAAGGGAAGTATGAAAAGTATACATATTTATTACTAATTAGAATACATAGATGAGAAGTCAACTGTAGCACTTAGAGAGAGACAGAAGCCCATTATGACCCGAACCGGCACTGCCACCCAGGTTCCTCTGAGTCATCATTAGTATAATAAACACATTTTTTAGTGGTTTCCAGAAGAACAGGGGATATATTAGCTTGAGGCCTACCAGTTATTTTTTTAAAATAAGGGAAACGAAGAAAGGGGAAGATGATTTTTTTTTTTTAAACTGCATGGCTCACAGCTAAGAAAAAGGAGTCGTTACCAACATTCTTCTAATTTTCAACCACGAAACATACCGAAAGGTGCTAGACATACTTTTATGTTCATAATTTAAGTGCCTGCCCATTTGATTTAGTCTTCAATTGGTTCTATGTGCCTGAGGAATGGAAAGTAAGAATTCTTTAAAGACAGACTGATAGCAGAAAAAGGATTGGAAAAAAAAAATTCAAATGGCAAACAGCCAAAGCCTTCCATTATAGAATAACAAATGACTCACTGGCCTAAAATTCCAGCAGAGGTTAATAAGCCCCAGTGCACTGAATTCCCTCTCCCCCCGCGATACACACAGTAGCTCCAGCTCCTATCCTACAGGGATGAGCTCAGCACAGCTCCTGAGCACAATCTGCCTTCCCAGGCAGTTGCCAAGCAAACCACCTAATGGCAGCAGAAACAGCACACAAAGGGGAGTTGTGGTTGCAAGTTCTGGCTGGTAAAAGCCCCTGTGAGAAGGCAATTATTTACCTCATTACCTTAACTATTCCCCCGTGGAAATGAATCCATTTTCTCCTATGAATAGCTGCTCAGGAACAGCCAGTCGTAAGATGTTCAGTTCTAAGCATTACCCTCACCTGGAATACACTGGGTAGAGCTATTGTTTCCTTTGGATGCAGGAGAAGCCCACGTATGTGAGAGGCGACGTGGGAAATCCCTCTGCCAGACACAGGAAACTTTCCTCTTATGGCAACCAGTCTGAAGGCCAGTCTGAAGGCGCTGCAAGGCCCTTTATTTGGAGAGGGAGACTTGGGTGACTCAGATCTTTGTTTGCTTGGGGGAGGGGACGGTTATTCCATTGAGAACTGCTTTGGGGCTACAGCCATTATTTGGATAAGGTGGCAAATGTATTACAGGTTTTCAAAGTGAGGAGTGGTCATTTAAAAGGAAGAGTACCAAATAATTTCTTCCTAGACTTTACCCAACCTTTCCTATGACATCAGAAAACGAAACTCTGAAATCTAGCCAGCCAAGTCTTATTCTCTGCTTTGTCCTTCCCCAGATAAGATTTCCTTCTTTTTTTTTTTCTTTTTTTTTTTGAGACTGAGTCTCACTCTGTCACCTGGGCTAGAGTGCCGTGGTGTCAGCCTAGCTCACAGCAACCTCAAACTCCTGGGCTCAAGCGATCCTCCTGCCTCAGCCTCCCGAGTAGCTGGGACTACAGGCGTGTACTACCATGCCTGGCTAAATTTTTCTACTTTTTGTAGAGACGGGGGTCTTGCTCTTGCTCAGGCTGGTCTCGAAGTCCTGAGCTCAAGCAATCCTCTTGCCTCGGCCTCCCAGAGTGCTAGGATTATAGGTGTGAGCCACCATGCCTGGCCTGTTTTCCTTTTTTTGACTATACTGAATAGTTTTCTTATAAGACAGAATGGCTGTTTCATACCTCTAGGCTCCTTAAATGTCTACTAATACAATTTCGAAGAGTAGCCAAGGATGATTTAGAAATGAATAAAGCAACAGAGAAAAGAATATTCGTAAGTAATTATCTACTGAGCATCTTTACGCTTACAGCCTTCATCAAAATTTTACCAGACATTTCTTGCAGTATAAGCCATACAAGCAGGTTCTTTTTTTTCCTTAATAAGGAAGTCACCTTTTTCTGAGTCACTTAAAATACCCTGCAGTCTCCCTGAATTTTCAATTTTACTTAAATTGTCAGCTTATAAATTTATCTCCTCATCTAGACTACAAGAGGAATTATATTTTTTATTTTAAAATGTTTGCTGAATTCAGTTTCATCCTGGGACAGCTAGAAAACAATGATCTGATATTTGGTGATGATTAAGAAAGGGCTGTGGGGCTACTTATACTTAAATAGGTGTGAACACCTGCAGCCTTCAGTTCCAGTTTCCTGAAAGAGCTGATCATCATGCCACCCTTGCCTGCCAATTTACCCGGGGACTTGATACAATAAGACCCTCTACTCAGCTCCAGGCTTTTGTGACTGAACTATTGGGCTGATCCATCAACTGACCTAAGCTGCTTTCTTAATAAGATCTTTTGCTCTACAAAATAATCTAGGCTAACTATAAATTATAGGACTTCAAAATACAATGTGATGAAATATACATTTTCTAGTACATTGTTTTTGTCTTTCGTTAAAGTTCAATTGATTACTTCACTTCTAAAAGACCTCATATTGCAATAGGTGATCTGTATGACCAAAGAGAAGGCTTTATGTCAAGATTCAAAAAGCATATGAATAAAACTACAACACCTTTTAAAAACCATTTTAACCGTCTTGAGGCAAATTAAATAACTAGGTGAGGAAGCAAAGAACTGAATAATACCAGCTCTAGAAATTTATCTTAAAGAAATAATCAGAGGTATCACTGAAGATTTAGACACAAGATTTTCACCTTAAGCATGTATAAGGAAGAAAATTCTGTAAAAGAATTGAAGTACTTGACGTCCAACAACAGGAGAGGAGTTAAATGAGGGTAATATTAATACAACATATTAGGCCATTGTTAAAACTCGTGCTTTCAAAGAACATTTCATGACATGGGAAAAATACTCATGGAATATTATGTAAAGCAAGATACAAAATTACATACAATATAATTTTCTTCTAGAAAGTCTACCTAACTACTAAACCATCCTACCCCTACCTGCCCACCACCCATCTATAACCCACTTTAAGGAAACATGCCAAAATATGCTTATCTTTTGATAGTAGGATTATGGATAAATTAAATTTTTTTTCTTTATTCCACTCTGAATGTTTCATGTATGATTATGACTGGTTTTATTTGTTCAATTTAAAATTATAATCTGTTATAAAAAATCCAAATTCAGAAGTGAAAGTGAAATTTCTACCCCTTATAAAGCCTGAGAAGTTAACATTATTAAGAGTTTGATATATATCCTTTTCCTTTTTTTTTTTTTTCCCAAGACAGAGTCTCACTCTGTCACCCTAGCTAGAGTGCAATGGCATCATCATAGCTCACAGCAACCTGAAACTCCTGGGCTCAAGCGATCCTCTTTCCTCAGCCTCCCCAGTAACTGGGACCATAGGTGTGTGCCATGATGCCCAGCTGATTTTTTCTATTTTTAGTAGAGATAGGGTCTCTCTCTTGCTCAGGCTGGTCTAGAACTCCTGAGCTCAAGCGATCCTCCCGCCTCGGCCTCCTAGAATGCTAGGACTGCAGGCGTGAGCCACTGCGCCCGGCTGATGTATTATATATCCTTTCCAGACCTTCTCTTATGTATACTATCTTTGTAATAAGAAAAATTAAAAACATAAATGGACATGAAACACCCCTACTACAATTGCATTTTCATGGTTTAGCCTCACTGTTCCCTTCTGCTATTCAGCTATGAAGGTGGTAACTTGGAAAATCCTTTCATTATAATTTCTAATAAAATGCTAAAAGCAACTGAAGTAAGTGTGTGTGTGACTGTATGTATAAAAAAATACTCAAGAGAAAGATTTACTCTGCAGGATTTATGCATCTGCCTCCCATATAGTCCCTGTGTCACCTGTGGGTCTCGGTTACTGTTTCAAGTACCTGACCAAACCATTCTTATCTAGAGATGGGTGACTATCTCAGAAAGGTGCCATTTTTTACAGGAACCACAAACCGAAGTTTCAATTTAGACTCTCTAAGGGATTTTACTGACAGTTTTAAGCACTGAAGACTTCTGGGAGGGAAGGAGAGGTGAACTCTCTTTGAGATGCATAATATCTGTCCCCAGTTGAGAGCAGAAATGAAATTAGCAATACAGGCAGCTATGAGGCATCTTTTAGAAAACAACAAATGGATGTTATAGTACATACATATGAAGCAATATGAACAAAAAGGGAACTGCATCTCTAGCTGATAGTTTTTTGTGTGTGCATTTATTTATGGGCCCCAAAGAAGGGTCTTAGGGAGGGAAGAGACACAGCGTTTTTGCTGACATAAATAAAACACTCCACAAATAAGACCAGCGGATGTCTCTGGCCTGGCTGAGTGCCAGGGTGGCTATGCTAGTGTGGGTGGCCAGCTCCAGCGTGGCACTGTTCTTCCTACAAATGCAAATACACCATCTAGCTACTGTCTATATCTTTTGCAAAATCATTCATTTCCTGTCTGTTTCCTAGTTACGGTAACAATCACAAGCTTTAAAAATAGCTTGCCCTATATAATACAACAGACAGTGCCCAATCTGTGTTTCAGGCCTGATGCCCTCACAGACAAGCCTTTAGCAGACTGCATTTTAATTTTTTTGAGGGAATTAGATTTTCAAAATAAATGAATTATGTTGCTCTAATTTATGTCTAAATTTCTGAGTGGGACTGTAGTAGCAACCACAGGCAGAGAAACAGACTGTCCACAGGCAGAGGACTCGTCATTGTCCTTAGGGACACGGACGCTAACTACTTGTGGTCAGCAGCTTGGCTGAAACCTGCTTGTGGCAGCCTTGTATGGAGCTGCCTGCTGTGGGCTATGCTGCAGCTGAACTCATGACTGACCTTCTGAATCTGTTCTGCTTCCATTGTCCCCGATTTCTGAAAATGGCTCTCACCTTCCAACATCTAAGCTCGAATCTTGTTATCGGTTTGGATTTCTTCTCTCTAGACTCTAATATTCTATCAATTTTATCTGCACTATCTCATTTCTGTCATCCCCTCCTCTCTAGGTTCATGGCTACTGTCCTAGTTCAGGCCCCATCACCTCCTTCCTGGACATGTGCTCTAACCTCTGTTTTCCTCCCCTACTCAATGGACCAATGTGACCTTGCAGGCGAATTTTCTGAAACACAACATGGATCACAGCGCTTCCTTGCTCAAAGATCCTCAATAGTTTCCTCCTACCCTGACAATTGTTCCTTCAATTGTTTCCATTGATACTGAAACACGTCCCCACACTGAGAGCACTGGCCTTGAGAAAAAGTCTAAATTCCTTGGCTTGCCATTCACAGCTAACATATCCATCTTTATTTCATACAACCTCCCTTCATAGGCCCTTCCCACAGACAAACTGAACTACTGCTCGGACGTAGATGGACCCACACTGTCCTAGTGATTGCTTTTGCTCAGGCTTTCCCTCCACTGAAGACATCCCACCCTGGTTTCTACCCACCCTGGTCTACCCACCTCTCAATCCCCAGCTCCGACAGTTAACCCAAAGACTTTCCTGATCAAACAGCTAAAAGCAACTCCCCCCTGCCTTCTTCTAGTCTCACTTTGATTCATACTTCTTTAAGGGACTGATCACATTTTATCTTTTATCAATTTATTCAGCACCTGGCATGCTGTCTTTAGTTACATATAATGTTTCCTCTGCTAGACCATAGTCTCGCAGACTGCGAGACAGAGTTCATGTCTGACTCATTTTTTATCACCTAAAGAGGTAAAAAGACAGGAAACCAATATGTGCTGAATATCTATAACCTGCCCCAAACTTCATACACATTATCTCAATTAATTTTCACAACAGTCTCATAAAGTTGGTGTTCTCATTTTACACCAGAGAAAATTCAGGTTCAAAAATTTAGTCACCTTGCCCAAGTTCACACAGCTAGTAATGAGCAGAATCTATCTTGAACCTACTCCAAGACCTATGTTCTTTTATGACACTCTGTTACCCATCAATATGATCCTCTGTACGCTGCTTGATGCTAAGTACATATAACCCATATTAGAAGTTAAATAAATATCCATTAAATGAGAGAAGCTGTCATCTTCCATATCCTGAAAGACAACTTTATGTAATACACTAACCTTTAAGCACATCCAAATCGGACAAAAAAAGATGTTTAACTGACCAAAAAAGATGGCGCATCATTTCGTAGCTACAGTACCCTAAGCAGAAGCGAGTCAATAATAATGAAATAGACAAAGTCCAATTCAGCACAAAAGTTAATTTTTTGTTTTCGGAATTAAAATCTGTTAACAAAAAAACCCCGCCCAGACACCTGTGAGGGATCTAGAAACTTGAAGAGAGAAGGAGTTGGTTAAGGAAGGAGAAAGAAGACGGCTTTGAAAAGTTCACACCAGGTCTGACAAGTTATGTTATGTAACAGTCGTCATGACAAAACACTGACGAGAGTTGAGCCCTGGACACTGTTCTTAGGTTTTTCTCCACAAAAACAACACTTCTGAGTGACTTGAGGAAATGACAAAGTTCAACAAAGCCAAAGTACAACACTTGTGGACCAAACAGAAGTCTCCAGCCAACTGCCAGCTCTGAGTGTCTTAAACACACCCGTACCTTTGGAGTGTCCACACATTCTTCTTCCATAAATGCTGCTTCCGCCTGACAGCCCGACGCTGGGAAGGAAAAGGCCTCCACGTTGGAGGCCTGTGGGAGGAGGGCAGAGCGCAGCAGTCTCATGTTCGGCGAATGCATGGTCACTGGGAGTCCCACGGTTTGTGCCTGTGGGTACAGCAAGAACAGACAGTCTGGGAATGTGAATACTTTCTCTGTGAATATGCAAAGTTTTAAGAATAAAATAATTCTTCCTAGGGCAATTAAAGGATAAATAATTCTTTATTGGAAACTCCAGAAAGATTTGATGAAATATGTATATGGTACAGGCATTGATTTGAAGCAGTCAAATCAATTATTCTGAAATACGTTGTACAGAATTTCATTCCTGTCTCATCATGAGATTTATAACTTTCATGCAGGTCTTTGTGACGCATCAAGAGTGCTCCTTGCTTCAATTCAACAAACACATTTGTCTCTTTCCTTAAATATATTACCTGGAAATACATAAAGAAGAATAGAAATGTCCCTGCCCTGTGAGCTCAAAGTTGAACCAGGGATAGGCATACACACACCCACAACTAACTACGATACAGGTACACTGAAATAAGTGCTATATCTCTGCTTTTTTTTTTCTTTGGTGGGGTGAGATGATATATGTTTCTTGGCTAGGGTGTGTGTGAAGAGGAAAAGAAAAGCAGCAGTTACTTGGAGGTGACAGAAACGTCCGCCCTCCTTCCTTTGAGGAGACACACAGTGTGCTGGCCTAGCAGATGGAGATGCTTACTGCTGCGCAAGTTCTGTTCCTGAAGTCAACCTACTACAGAAAGCTCCTGATGCGTTTAAGTCTGTTCTCATGTGTCCTTTGTTAACTACCCTAATTGAACAAGCACTACAAACGCTTCTTTTTTTTTTTTTTGAGACAGAGTCTCGCTTTGTTGTCCGGGCTAGAGTGAGTGCTGTGGCGTCAGCCTAGCTCACAGCAACTTCCAACTGCTGGGCTCAAGTGATCCTTCTGCCTTAGCCTCCCGAGTAGCTGGGACTACAGGCAAGCACCATCATGCCCGGCTAATTTTTTTTTTTTTAGTAGAGACGGGGTCTCGCTCTTGCTCAGGCTGGTCTTGAACTCCTGACCTTGAGCGATCCACCCGCCTCAGCCTCCCAGAGTGCTAGGATTACAGGCGTGAGCCTCTGGGCCCGGCCACAAACGCTTCTTTTTAAAAAATCATTTAAAAGACCATCTTCCCTTATGAGAATCAGCAAAGATTAATTTTAAAGATGAAGCTGCTGGATGATCCTTTCATCCCCGTCCCTTCAAAACTACCCAAATAATTTATCAACTGCATTTTGAACACAACAGACATTACAAAGCATCTGAGGGAACGATGATCTTACTAGACTAAGAAGCAGAAGAATGGCCTATACTGTTCCTGCTATAGTCGCTTCAAGGGATATAGAGGACAGTGAGCTTTAAATTCAAACAAGTGAAACGGACAAAGGGTGTGAGATTCCAGCTTCTCTTCCCCCAAGACCTGAGTTTGATTCTGAGCTCCCTCACTTACTAATTGTGTGACCTTAATTAGGTTACCTAACTTCTCTCTGAGTCTTATCTATTTCACCTGTAAAAAAGGGCATAATAACTACTTCACAACTGTGAAGGATTTTAAAAGGTAACATGTAAAGTCCTTAACTCAGTAACATTAATTCCTCCTTTCCCCTTCTTGCTGAAGTCTTAAAATGATCACAAGAATGTAAGAATTAGATTGCAAAATGAATGCAGTTTTGTTCCCACATACTATCTAATGGTTCCCAGTTAGAATTTCAGGTTGATGATTTTCAAGGATTGGAGGTTATGTTAGAAATATACTTAATATTTGAATATACTTTGAATACATTTACAATATACTTTGTATCTGACATATTCCAATATTAACATCATTGGATATACTGTATAAGACAAAAAATAAAATAGCATTAGCAAAGCATTAGTAGGATACAGATGATAAAAACAGAAAAGAAATACTGCATACCATTCTGGGCATGATAAAGAAATAGTTTTTCTTGTGTTGCCATTCCTCAGGCTTATATCCTGTGCCACTTTTGAGGTTAAACAACTTTTTTTTCCTCTTTCAAGCACTAATCATTTACATTAATTCTGCTAGCCACAATGTCACAATGTGAAATTTTAACTTCCTAATAAAGTATATTTGGTACACTCTTCTTACCCCCATCATCAGCTTTTCAAACAAAGGATAAAGCTGAAGATTGATTTCTGTTTCCCAGATTTATTAGACTGCTCCTTCTATGGGAAAGCACTCTAAATTATTAGGGCAAAGCATTAGCTGAAGGTGCTGCACTGGAAATGAGATGCCAACAAAGTAACTACAACATCCTGCCCCTTCTCAGTCCCTGACTCTTGCTAGCTGAGTCTTTAAATGGCAGGGCTGTGCTGTGCCAGACCAAGCGTAGCACGTTGCCCTTGACAACTTTCACATCCGACCTGAACCATAACTATGACTGACTGTGAACTTGGTAAGGACAGAGGAATAACACATTTTGTTGTGACAGTCACTTCCTAGGAAATAGGATAGTAGGTTTTAGGAGTCTTGTAATCACTGAGGGGACTAAAGAAGTCTTTTTGGAACAAGAGAGGCTATACGTACATGAATGGCATGCTCAGTGCTACAGAGCTGACTAGAGAAAGTTAATAGAGAATAAAGAGATGGTCAGTTAATATCCGAAAGGAAGCAGATATTACCAGCTTCTTCAAGAGAGGCAACTATCATTTCCAATCAATTGTGATTATTTTTTAGACCACGTGTTTACTGCCTTGAATGTCTTCTTTTAACTTTGTGTTTTCCAGAACCATCAAAATGAAAATAATATTCTTTCCTATGGGAAAATTGTTACTGCTCCAACAGGCATAGACTTGCTACAGCCTAAATTGTGTCCTCCCAAAATTCACAAGTTGAAGCCCTACCCGCAGTGTGACTGTATCTAGAGACACGACCTTTAAGAAGGTAAGTAAGGTTAAATGAGGTCATAAGGGTGAGGCCCTCATCCAAGAGGGCTGGCGTTCTTATAAGAAGAGGAAGAGATGCCAGATCTTTCCCTCCACACTTGCACGGAGGAAAAGCCATGTGAGGACACAGTGAGAAGACAGCCATCTCTAAGCCAGGAAGAAAGCCCGCATCAGAAAACAGCCCTGACAGCACCTTGATCTTGCATTTCAAGCCTCCAGAACTGTGAGAAAACAATTTCTGTTGTTTAAGCCACCCAGTCTGCAGCAGTTTGTTATGGCAGCTCTGGCAAACGAATGCAATGCTTTTTCCAATAGTTGTGAAGGGCAACCTCTAATCAGCAATTAAAGTATGGAGATGACTGTTTCATTCTTATCTGTTTACAGTTGATAGGAACTTGGAGTGGAAGAACTGTTAAAACCTAGTGGTTAGAATTCATGAGAAAAAGGCAGGACGTATTTTTCTCTAGTCATTTGAAGTTAATTAGATATAACACTTCCTGCATGTTATACAGCAAATGTAAGTACTCTAAATCTATCTAAGATGGGAATCTCACTGTTGTCTAAATAATAATAATGGGTAAGTTATCACTAGATGACCAACTCATTCAGGGCAGGGAATATTTCCTGGGACTTCTGAAGCCACAGTGGCTGGGACCGTGCCTAGCATATAGGTGCTCTGTTTGCTGAATTGCATTTAACTTGGTAGCAATCTTATGAAGTAAGTATTGCTGTTTCCACTTTATGTTTAAGGATGCAGGAGCTCAGAGATGCTGACTTGCCCGAGTCACTCGGCTTGGTATGGAACCCAAGGTCTGTGTGATTCCACAGCTCATGTGATCTTTGTATTGGATCGTGTTTCCTCAATTTTTTTACTGCTATATCGAGTAACAAGTGATTTGCCACTTCCTTAAAAAAAATTACAACATCAAAGAATTAAAGTGAGAAGGCTCTACTAAAACTTTAAGCACATTTATATCCACAACAACAGAGAAAACTATTTTTTAACAAGTTCAACACTAAAATTTAGAGTGTGAAATCTCTGAGGGGAGGGAGCATTTTCTTCAGCCCCGGAGCCTGTTGCTTAGCATCCAGAAGGCACTCAAGACAGGTTTGCGAATGAGCACTGAAGACTGCCACTTGAATTAGATACATTTTAAGTTACAGTAAGTAGGTTTCTATGACGACCTGGGTCAATGCATAAAGTGAAAAGAACTCACAGGGTGCTTGGTAATAATAAAAAAAAAAAAGTTATCAAACATGAGAAGCCATGTTATATATCTGAACTCTGAGCCAAATTAAATATAATTTGAGATATCCTAGAGAATTTGCTTCTAGTCTAGATATGAAAGGATATCATGTACAATAACACGCGCACGTGCTCAGGAGCAATTGTTTATGTAACCCCTCACCACTCCCTCACTTGTGTAATGTTTAAGAAGAACAAAGAGACTTGGCAGGGAATCACTGCCACAGCCCTGGGGGCTTTCCCGCTTCCTATCCCGTCTGGCCACACTTGCAAGAGGGAAGGGGTTCCACTGCGGCTCACTATCACTACCCCAACTTAGGAAATCTCATTTTATCTTTTTCTCTGCCTTGAAAGCAATACCATCAACTTTGAAGGTTGCCAAGTGCTCAGAGATACTCTAACCCACATATCTGGAACTGTACTGATACCTTATTCTACTCACATTTGTATCAATACATATTTTACATACAAAGTATGTATAACAAAATATACCATTTGCCTATTAAAAACAAGATTTTAATTTCTTCTTTTTACATGTTCTGTAGAAACCAATGCAAAACTTTATTATAATCCTGTAAATTTTGTAAAACTGCCAAAGAAACACAATGTAGTCAAAACTCTTCTGCTCTTACTTTTGCTCAGAACAAAATAAGTTACTCAGAGAAGTGGACAGGAATCCTAACTGAGCATACGAACGAATCACTCCCTTTCTCAACCCCTATGTAGATGATTCCCCAAATCTCCTTAGCCCCAGCCTCTCCTCTCTCCTGGAATCCAGATCCATATCTTCCCCCTGAGCAACTGAGTTAATGCCGCCTCTATTCTCTCGGGCCTGGGCTCATGGACGAGTCTCCTCTAACTCATTGTTGCCCCTTCTTCCCCAACATTTGATTATTACTGTACATAACAAACATATAGCACTCACTATGGGCTAGGCACTGTTTTAAGTGCTTCATAAATATTAACTAATTTAATTGTCACAATATTCTATTATTCTTTTTCTTTCTTTCTTTTTTTTTTTTTTTGAGGCAGTCTTGCTCTGTCGCCCTGGCTAGAGTGCAGTGGCATCAAACCTCAAACTTCCAGGCTCAAGCGATCTTCCTGCCTCATCCTCCCAGAGTGCTAGGATTACAAGGAATGAGCCATTGTGCCAGGCCACAACATTCTATTATTATTCCCATTTTAAACCTGGGAAAGTGGCCAGGCGTAGTGGCTCATGCCTGTAATCCTAGCACTCTGGGAGGCTGAGGCAGGAGGATCACCTGAGGTCAGGAGTTCAAGACCAGCCTGAGCAAGTATGAGACCCCATCTCTACAAAAAATAGAAAACTTAGCCGGGCATGGTGGCATGCGCCCGTAGTCCCAGCTACTCGGGAGGCTGAGGCAGGAGGATCGCTTGAACACAGCAGTTTGAGGTTGCTGTGAGCTATCATGACACCACTGCACCCTAGCCAGGGCAACAGAGCAAGACCCTGTCTCAAAAAAAAAAAAAAAGGAAACTTGGGAAACCGAGGCACAGAATGACCTTAAACTTTTTTTTTTTTTTTTTTTTTTGAGACATAGTCTCACTCTTTTCCCCGGGCTAGAGTGAGTGCCGTGGCGTCAGCCTAGCTCACAGCAACCTCAAACTCTTGGGCTCAAGCAATCCTTCTGCCTCAGCCTCCCGAGTAGCTGGGATTACAGGCATGCGCCACCATGACCGGCTAATTTTTTCTATATATTTTTAGTTGTCTGATTAATTTCTTTCTATTTTTAGTAGAGATGGGGGTCTCGCTCTTGCTCAGGCTGGTCTCGAACTCCTGAGTTCAAACGATCCGCCCGCCTCGGCCTCCCAGAGAGCTAGGATTACAGGCGTGAGCCACCGCGCCTGGCCGAAGATGGGTCTTAAATGCCATCTCTCCCACGAAGCCTTTCCCCTTCAGATGTGCCTCTCTCTCCCCTGTCCTTAGCTCTTCTACAGCACTCGTCTTTCTCTCTTTTGAGTGACAGTTATTTATGATCTTGTCTTATTTTACTTCTATAGTGTAATGTCTCTGAGGACAATGGCTGTATTTTACATATCCTATCCTTGATAGTACCTAATAATAGGAGCTTGCACATGGTAAATCTACAATAAAAATTTGTTAAATGAAACTACATGTATAGGCTAGTTACAGTAATTCTCAGCATTAGTGAATGACTAAAAAAATGAAGCATCTCTTTAAAAAAAAACTGCTTGAAATAAAATTAATCCTTAAAAATAGGAAGGCGCTAAAACATTTGAGAATCTAGTGCATGACAGAGGCACAAACTTTACAGAAAAACAGTGCAGAGGAGGAAAGCCTAACTCTTTGTACTACAAGATGAAAAATGTGTCAAACGTGAACAGGCACATGTACAGATAACACCATTGGCTAAGGGGGCGTTACCTTGGCAACTGTTTGCTCAGCGATGGTGCTAGGCCGGCGCTGGCGGCCATCAAGTCTCTGCTCCACTGGAAAACTGCTCCTGTGTGATTTCAGGCGCTCCACCAACAAGAAATAAATGGCAGCAAAGTGGTTATAGCTCTTGTTCTGCAAAGACTGAAAGAGAAAACAAGTGCTGAAGGCAGAGAACCACAAAAACCAATTCAACGATCGATACCTTTCTTAAAAAAGAGAGAAGGGAGATCGTGTGTTCTTAAGTAGAGTGACAGACAAAGTGTGCCTCAGGATGAAAGCTGTTCCAGGATTTAGACCGGAAGGCAGAAAACTTCAAGTCTCTAGTATTAATTACACAAAGGGTGATTTAAATGAATTGACCGGCCCTTCTACATTAACAGGATCCATTTATTTTCCTGCAGTCAGGGAAAATGCCATCCTCGTCTCATGCTGACACTCCCCAGTGCTGCCATGTGGTCCCATCTCCTAGTTGTAACCACGGTGTAAGGGCAGTTAGCAACCTGAGCCTGGGGCTCTAATTCCATGGCTTCAACACAAGTCCAAACCATTGAAAACTCTGAAGTGAATGATTAAAGTCTTTGGGGAACGTTCTGGTGATTATTTTGGGCTGGAAAATGACATCTGGATGCTAAATAGAGAGACACTATGCCTCCATTCTTAGGTAATTTTTTCCTCTTGTTTTTGTAGTCCCACCCTCTTGAAACCTTGAAACTACAGTTGCTTCCCAAATTTTCACATCTCTAGCCTGCCAGCTTTCCCAGGATACTAAGGGAACAGGGAAACAACTGCTCCTTTGGCTTCTAATTCCACCTGACAGTGTGCATACGTGCTGTGCAGGGCCCCACGGATGCAGAATACTCTCAGCAAAAATCACAGGCCAGTGGGATGGCACTCACAGCTGCCCTTCGGGATCTATTTCACGGACAGTACAGAAGAACCTCACTGAGTGCACGACGTGCAAAGCAGGGAAGTCAGTTTGGTTTCATCCACAGCTACAATGAGGGAAAAGGCAGCACAGTCTTTCACAGCAAACAAGGGGGCATTTCATATTCCTTCTTGTTAGGCTTCCTCCTTAAAAGCACTGTTTTTTACTATTGTGGAGGTATTAAAAATATGTATCCCATAAGTATGCCTACTATTAGAGGATAGAAATAAAAGCCAAGAGGAACTTTCCAGGTTCATGACCTTCTCAGCTCGATGAGCCCTAATACTTCCAAATCAGGATCCCACCTGTTTTCGCCTTCTTAGTTTCTCCAGTTCACAGTCTACACCCCACTGGCTTTCTTAAACCTGATGCCTACCCTTCTTGTTTCCTGCGAGGCCCTTAGCCTTGTTCCCCATCTGCACGTTTACGTTCCAGACAAACTAGTTGAATTCCCATGTAAAACTTCATGCTTCATTTGGAAAAAACTTTCTACCCTGTATTTGTTAAAGCTTCCATCTTTGCCTTTTCTGAATCTTCTACAAATGCTTCCTCTTGAATTTTTTGGCAGATGGGGCAAAGAAAGGAATTTAGACATTGAATAAAAGCAACTATAAATAGAGTCTGATGTAATCACTAGGGAACACTTGAATAGTATGCCTAGGTGCTGGGGACAGATGTGCTAAAAGAGTAGGATGACAGGTGTGAGCATGAAATTTCAAGTTACTAAGTGCAGTAGAATCCTGAAATATCTTTAGTCAAATCTCTGATCACTCTACCTCAATGGTTTTCTGCTGATCTATTCCAAGGCTGTGCATCAATCGCAGGACCTGTTCATTAAACTCCCCGATGGATGGCTCATTTTCTTGCTCTTGTGGGTAGAGAACAGGTCTCTGTACAGGAACTTCGATGAGCATCCATTTATGCTCCTTGATTTGAGCGATGGTTAGCCGTTTGCATGGGTCTAGGACCAACATCCTTCGAATAAGGTGCTCACAATCTATAGAAACCACAATGTTACAAAAGTCACACAAATCACCTTGCACTTCAGTGTTATTTGCTTGACTCACATGACTTTGTACAACAGTGTTAATCTCTGTATCCTCCACTGGAAAGCAGAAGGTCAAATGGATAAATGAATACATGAAGCCTACTGACACTTGTCAAGTTCAGCTGGTGAACCAATGAATACTTAAGAAAAACAGGAGGGTGTAGGTCTATCAGGTTCTGTGCTCAGTGAACCTTTCTACTGAATTTCCAAACTGGAAATATCTAGACACAGACTTAGATTTCAACTAAAGAAAAGAAACAAGCCTCATTCCTAGAACAAGCAAATAGTAAGTTGATCCTCGGTCACATCCAAGACTGATACACTAAGGCTATGCGAGTGAGGCAAAGAGCTCTCCAAGGGGTTTTGCTTTTCTTCACATTCAGTGCAGATGAGAAAAACTATGTGAAATATTATTTACTTCTTGACTACACCAAGAAAACGGCACTGCTGCAACTCTGAGCACTAGATTATTCCCTGAGCTGACATGATATTCTTCACCACTCCCACATAAGCTAAACTCACAGCAGTCACTATGGGCCAGGTACCATGCTAAGTGCTTCATACAGATTAATTTAATCAATCCTCACAACACCCCTCAGATAGAAGGACTGTTATTTCCATTGCATAGATGAGGAAATTGAAGCACAGAGAGGAGATACAAGTGCCAAGGTCATAGAGCAGTAAGTGGTGGACTCAGGATTCAAACCAGCAGTCTGTTAGTCTGGCTCCAGAGTCCACGCTCTTTGCTACTAAGAGCATTATTTCTACTGTAAGTAGGAAAAAAAGAATTAAGATTAATAACCAAAAATGAAACTAAGGAGTAAACTTAACTGCTACCTGTGTAACAGCCCAACACAGGCAGGGATTATGGCATTTCATGTTAATTCAGCAGAGTTTTGCCAGTGGGCTTTTAATCTAATTAAAAATTTGAAAATTTTACTAAATTCGTTTCATACTTAGAGTAAAATGTAGTGAATCTGTATCTAAAAGGGCTTCACTAAGTCTAAAATAAACATGAGACATTTATAGACCCAGAGTGAATGGGAAGGCTTGCTGCTCTTAATCTGGGAAATGTTCTGTATTCAGTTACAAGTAGGAAAGGCTGGAACTTGTCTCACCTACACAGAGGGGGTTGCTTATTTCTATAGCTTTTAAAATGACTCACTTTATTTGGCACCCAAACTCTCAGAAAAAGAGAAGCTTTTGCCTGGGCATTTGATTTGGAGCACAAATACTATAAAGCACCTTTAGTAAGATGAACACTTTGTTACCTTCCGACATGAAATATGGGATCCGGAATCTTCCTTCCAAAACCCTCTGCCTCAAAATCGGAAGAGTTGGTCCATCAAAAGGCAGAGCTCCACAGACAAGGACGTAAAGAACAACTCCCATACTCTAGGGAAGAAAATGATGCAGTCACGTAGTTACTTTTCTAATGAGAACTTCAAACACTCTTTTCCTAAACATCCCCAGGGCTCTTAAAATCATAAGGACTGAAAAATTCCTGTCTGAATTTATTATTTTCTCAGAATTTGAAAAAAAATCTGAAACCCTGACTATTGTAAAAAGTCTTATAGTAGATACCAAAAGATCTGAATCTGATCACTTTGATTACTAAACTTTAAATTATTGCTATTATTAGGATGATAATACCTGTCCCTACAAATTCTTTCCTAGGGATCCATTTCAAGATTCTCTGACTAATTCTAGTCTAGCAGATGGGGCAAATAGGAAATACTGCTTATGTGCTAAGGACCGGGAGGTTCTCAGATGGGCCAAAGTACCAAGTACTATCATTATCGGTGCATTTAACAACACAGCAAAGCAATGCAATACCCAAATATCCAGCTGTGGTCCTTCATACTGCTGCCCTTCGAAGACTTCTGGGGCTGCATATGGGGGGCTGCCACACCACGTTGCCAGTAGTTCACCACTTTTAAAGAAATTTCCAAAACCGAAATCTATTGGGATGGAAATAAATGTTACTTTCATCTATGCTCTCAAACTATACTACATTTCTCTGTAATGAATCTTACAATGTGCTATATTAACAGAATTACTGCTATTCACTCTGCGAGGGCTGGGTTCCCTAGCACTCAGTGTAATGACTAGCAAATAGTAAGTATTCAATAAATACTGCTGAATGGATGCATAAGTGAATCAAGTTTCCTTCTCAAAGAGAGTGAGAGATTGGAAAAACACTTTAAATCATGTACTTTTAAGGCTGAAAGAAAATCCATTGGTATGGATAACCAACTTGAATTTCATAATCTTAGAATTTCAATTACCCAATAATTGATTGATAAAGAGCTCTTTATCTTATATGGTCTATATGGAAAGTGACAAATGAGTAAAACTAACTCTAAGATATTCACACAAACACAACCAAGTGACTGGCTGCTCTTATAGCCACTACCCCAGGGTGGCAAGACAACCAAATATAGCATTTCCTAAGTAAAAACTCTGAGTTGGTCCATACATCCTCTTTTAGGCAGATGCTCATCTGAACAGCTCATTAACATATGATGGCTGCATGGCCCAGCCACAGGCCACCTATCACCGTGACTTATTTACTCATTTATGGAATATAGTAGCATTATACTTGAAAACAGTTAATGGCCTTCCCCTTATAATCTTAATCATATTCAATCTATAGCTCTGATGCACAGAATGTACTCTGGAAATGCTATACTCAGATGCCTTCAGTATCCACGAAAAAAATTCAGTAAGCTTTGGTATAAATGCAAACTTACACCCTTTTGTTATGTCTTTACACAGTCCCATGTTCTTACTGAAGAAACAAATTCCTACGATTTTATAAGCTATACTCATACTGTCTTGTGTTGTTGTTACATACTCCTGACTGAAGAACATGCCTCAGTGACAGGAACTGGCTCTACACCCAGCTGGCGCACAGCACTGTGCGCACAGTGAGCTTTAAGAGATGCCCCAAGGGAGACTGGAGGAGTCTGCATTGCCAGACTGACTGGCTTTGTGACTTTGGAGTCTTAGTGTCCCCATCTGTAAAGCTGAAATAATAAATATACCTAGTCAGCAGGTTGTTGTGAGGGTCCAATGTGTTAACATAAACTCACATACTCTATTCACACCTTGAGATTACGCATAAGTTGGTACCTCAGGCAAAGCGTTCTCTTAGCTCGCTGAGTAAGAACTGGTGGCAGGAAGCAATAATGGCAGTAACAGCAACAATCCCCCTCGCCACAGCTTCACGGATGGAGTGCAGGCTATGAAGTTAGGAGAACCAGAGCTGATTCCCAGTTTTGCCGCTTTCTAGCTTTAAGTCCTCTAGGGAAGTTATTTAACTTCCCTGAACCTTGGTTTCCATATCTATAAATGTAGGGATAATCCACCTACCCAGATAGGATGCCATGAGGAATGAGATTAACCACGTAAAATGCCTAGAGCATAGCAGATGTGAAATATCAGCTCTCTTCTCTTTCTGTGAAACCATTATTACCTACTATTGCCTTTCAGAGAAAAAGGTCCCAAGAAATGGATAGGAGGGGCAGAAAAAGTGTAGAGGGAGCCCAAGGGTTCAGGAGAGAAAAGAGGGTGCATCCGGGGAAAGGGCCCCAGACACAGTCTGACCCTGGTGAGCAACACTGTGGTCGGCATCCGGGGTATGAGGCAAAGTGGTGCCAGTGAGACGTTCTCTCCAGTCCCATAGTCCACTTTCTAAGTGCCCATCAGAAAGGCCTCAGCCTCTCAATTCCGCCTCTGCGACTAACCTCTCCTATCACATCACATCCCCATTTGGATACATATAGATATACGTTTCCAATTTTCTACAAAAGCCATACTCTCAGGTGAGTCAAGGATGAGATGATCAAATCAAGTTTAAAGAGGAAAATTTTAATTTCGCTGTGTGTTTTGAGATCTTAAAATAGGTACAATAACAGCCGCACTTTAAACCATACTAAAAAAACCCCCCATAATCACAGGATGAGTTTTAGTACACATAAGTTGAGGATACTCTGCAAATAGCACTGTTATGTTTTAATGTCTCAAAGAGCCCTTATAGAGCCACTCACTCCAAACTTTCCCATACCCTGGTGAAATGAACTCAGAGGAAAGACTGGGACAGAGGCTTGCCAGGAAGGTGGCCTGGCTTCTTTGTCGCCTTAGGTTCTCATTGGTCACTTCACAGGCAAGAAAGCAAGAGCCGGGAGAGCTTCACCAGCCCTGAGGTAGCCCAGTTTCAGCCTCAGCTTTACAAATCTAGCACAAAGAAAGCTTCTTGTTCACTTACAAGAAGGGTGTGCTAAGCACCTGTTTACTTCTATTTTCTGTAGGTAACTGAGGAATTTAGGAACTTGGGTCCAGAAACATTAAAAGAAACACCAAAAGACAATCAGGCTCACTAAGCTATTACAATGTCACATATGCAGAGGTCTTCTGTAACCTTGTCAAAGCATTTCAAACATTATATTTGTAATCATCTGATGAATAGGTTAAGGAAGACTTTGGAGTCAGGCAGATCTGGGATCAAATCCTGGGTTTTCTACTTAGCTATGCAATCTTGATCAAATTATTTAACTTCTTGGAGCCTTGGTTTCCTCATTTGCAAAATGGGGACAACATCTATACTTTATAAAGTTGTTGTGAGTACTGATATAAGTTGACAATATAGATAATGATACCAAAACATAGTAGGTGCTCAATAAATGGAAGCTATTGTTGCTATTATTATTTTACTTATTTGTCTTCCTCATCAGACTATACTCCTTGAGAGTAGAGAATGCGGGAGTGACAGTCTGTTCTTCTAGCCCTTAATACGCTGTCTGCAGACAATAGCTGATTGATAAAGATTTTGCTAAATGAATATGTCATTCTTATCTCTTATAAAAGTACTTCACTATGTGCCAGGAGCTGATCTAAGCTCTCTGAAGATGTTTTCTTCTTAATAACCCTATGAGGTATCCTTATTTTAGGAAAAAGTGAGCATAGAAAGTTAAGTACCTTGCCAGAGGTTATACAGCTAGTTAGTTGCAAAACTGAAATAGAAACCAAATTTGATGATAAAGCCTTCACTGTTAACCACCACCTTTATGTCCTTCCCTGGCACAGGGGTAAGTAGCTACTCTTGAACAAGTTAATAATTGCCAGGTTTAAGAAGTGGCAATGGAAGGCACTTAAAAATAAAGGGCTTTTCACATTTCTTCAGAGGAATCTGGGTAATTGGCTTCATTCACGGTCTGTAGCTTTCTACCTAAATGCATATAGTGAAATGAGGGGTGAGCAAGAGGGATGAAATAAGAAGATGCTGGATTTGTTTCCCCTTGTCCTTTATTCAGATAAAATGGACTATATTCATGTTTCATCATACTAACCAAATTCACTCATTCCTTCATTTAACATCTGAATGCAATGCATGTGTCAACAACTACTGTGCAAACACAGAACAGAGTCTCACAACAACACAGAATAATAAAAGACCCCACATTATCACCTGACTTCTGGAAAGCGTTATGAAAACAATCCCTTGGGCACTCCCCGCTCTGCTAGACTCACATCCAGCCTGGCCTTGCTGGAAAGCAAACATCTTTCTAGTTTAATATTTTTGCTAATTCTCCGATCTGCAAGTTAATACCTAGAACTCTGGCTGCTATGTTCCTCAGATATTTTGCTTGCTGTTTTTCTGTCATAAAACTTATGTCATACAATGTTGGATTCACTGTTTTTTTTTTTTTTAGCTTTCAATTTTGAAATACTTTTAGATTTACAGAAGAGTTGCAACAATAAATACCTTTCACCCAGCTTCCCCTAATGTTAACATTTTACATAACTATAGTGCAATTATCAAAACTAAGATTCAATTATCAAAACATTGACTCAATACCACTAACTAAACTATGGACTTTCTTAAGATTTCACCAGTTTTTTCACTATGGTCCCTTTTCACAGAATTCCATATTGCATTTAGTGTCGTGCCTCCTTAGTCCTCTCCGATTTGTGACAGTTCTTCAGTCTTACCTGACCTTGAAGAATACGAAATATTTTGTAGACTGTCCCTCAACTTGGGTCTGTTTGATGTTGCCTCCTGATTAGATTAAGGCTATGGCTTTTTGGGGAGAGCATCACAGAGGTGACGTGCTCATCTCAGTCCATCACATAAGGGGGTGTATGCTGTTATGGATAATTACTATGTGAGGTTTACCATAATCACTTGATTACGATGGTGTCTGCTGGGTTTCATCATTGTAAAGTCACTATCTTTCCTTCTGCAATTAATAAATATTTCAGAGAAGATTCATTGAGACTATACGTATTTTGTTTTCTCTTGAGCGTTCACCCACTAGCTTTAGCATTTGCTGGTAGATGATTGCAGCAACCACTGTGGTGCTCCAATGGTGAGTTTTCATTTGCCCCATTCCTTCTACATTTATTTTAATTTTATTTTTAATTGACAAATAATAATTGTATATGTTAATATATTAAATATTTATGGGGTACAATGTGATAAATATGTTTACATTGTAGAATGACTAAATCTTGCTAATTAACAAATCCATCACATCATTAATTATAATTCCTCTCTAAGGAAGAGCTGTACCTTCTCCCCCTTTATTTATTTATTTATTTATTATAGTGCTATAATATATATTAATGAATATTTATTTTATTCTTAAGGTTGTAATTCAATGCTACTGTTACTTATTTTGATGCTCAAATGGTTTCAGCTTTGGCCATTAGAAGATAATTCATACTGGCTCCTGTGTCCTTTCAACATACCCCATCTTTTTAATATTTTATTTTATTGTAAGCATTTCCTTATCTTTTGGCACCAGATGTTCCAGGCTTATCTTGTATTTTCCCTGCCCCAGCCTTGAATCAACCGCTTCTCCAAGGAGCCCTGGTTCCTTTTACTGAAGAATGGTATTTAGAAACCAAGCCCAGGCCCTGGATGTGCTCACGGACTTGAAGCAGCTACAGCCGCAAG